TCCTGGAAGGCTAATCCCGAAATCTAGGTTTAAAGCCATTTACTCCATTGACTGCCAGTTTCCCTTTCATGAAAGTTTCCATCAATATGAGGATTTACTGAGAGAATAAATGTAAAACACCAGGCGCACGGTAGCTACGTTCTCTGCAAAAGGCAGCTCTTTTCCTTCCTTCTCTGGGCCTCCGTTTCCCCAGCTAGCCCATCTGAACGTGCAGGCGTTCCCCTTCCTCCCAGCCAGCCTCTCCCCGGGCTCCTGTCCCACTGCGCGGGCTCCGGCCGCCAGGTGGCGCCAAAAGACTGACACCGCGGCCAGACACCGCACATGCGCACTGACGGCGCTGCCTATCTCCGCACGCCCTGGTACGTCACTTCCGGCGGCGCAAGGGGCGGGGCCGGGCGGGCCGGGAGTGCGGGTCGTTCTGCGCGCGCTGCGGACGACGCTCCCGCCGCCGACTGACCCGCGCTCCGCCCCGTAACCGGGCCGGTGAGTGCCTGCGAGCCGGTCCGTGGCCCTGGGGGCCGGGGAAGGGGACCCTTGAGAGCGAGGGAAAACCGGAAGTGGGGGACCCGAGGAGAGAGACCCCAGGAAATGGGGCCTCCTGGGGAAGGGGTGACAACCGGAAGTGGGGGGTCTCGAAAGGCTGCTAGGGAGGTAGGGTGTGTGGGGTTCCAGGAGCGATGGCTCTAGACCTCTCCTGGTTTGGGTGGCGTGCGGAGGAAGGTGATGCAGGATGGTGGTGATGCTCACGGGATGATGGTGATGTTCACGGGATGATAGTGATGCTCACGGGATGATGGTGGTGCTCACAGGATGATGGACGCAGGTGAGGAAGATTCGTGGCTCCACCCTAACGGATAGGGTTTGCACTCCTCCCTGGGCCCATCCATCAGCTCTGTGCCTGACAACTGCCGTGACCCTGGAGATTAGCCCGGAGGCTGCAGGTGGAGTGTAGAGCCCGCTGGGTGTGTATCCCTGGCACATCACTTACCTCCACATCATCCGCCGACAGTTCTGAGCATCTGTGAACATGCCAGGCAAATTGTCTGCCCCCGTGGAATTTACATCCTAGTAGGCAGTTTCCTCCCTTTGTAAATGGGAGGAGTAATAGAGCCGTCCCCAAATACTGTGAAGATGAAAAGAAAAGTTGTTATCACCATGCTCAAATACATATTATCTCTTCAGTTTTCCACTGTAAGTTGAACTTCCTAAGGCCAAGAATTATATTGTTCGCCCTTGTATGCCCATTGCTGTGAGCACAGTGCCTGACTCATGATAGGTGATCAGTGATTACTTGATAATGAAAGGTTGGTGAGACAGACCCTGAGGAGTGGTTTATGTCTTGAACTGCCATTTCTGAAAGAAGCAGGTGCTGTGGAACACAAGGGAGTTACCCTAGGGCCGTGGTGGGCAAACTGCAGCTCAAGAGCCACATGCAGTTCTTTGGCCCCTTGAGTGTGGCTCTTCCACAAAATACCACGGCCTGGGCAGGTCTATTTTGAAGAAGTGGCGTTAGAAGAAGTTTAAGTTTAAAAAATTTGGCTCTCGCCGGCACCGGTTTGGCTCAGTGGATAGAGCGTCGGTCTGCGGACTGAAAGGTCCCGGGTTCGATTCTGGTCAAGGGCATGTACCTTGGTTGCGGGCACATCCCCAGTAGGGGGTGTGCAAGAGGCAGCTGGTCGATGATTCTCTCTCATCGACGTTTCTAGCTCTCTATCCCTCTCTCTTTCTCTCTCTCTAAAAAAATCAATAAAAATATTTAAAAAAAAAAAAAAAAAAAAAAAAAGGCCCACAGCCTTCAGGGTCAGAAGGCCCTGGGGATTGTGTTGCTGCCAAGTCAAATAGTAGCACGAATAATCACAAGCGAGCTCTAAGCCATTTGACAGACTTTAAAAAAAAAAAAAAAAATTGGCTCTCAAAAGAAATTCCAATCATTGTACTGTTGATATTTGGCTCTGTTGACTAATGAGTTTGCCGACCACTGCCTTAGGGGAATCAGGGAAGGCTTCACAGAGGAGGTGACAATGAAGCTGGGTCTGGAAGGTGATGAGTTGTCTGGGTGAGAACAAAAGGAGAGGAAATTTCAGTAGAAATATAAATGCATGAGGTGTTCTGAGAATGGTGGGACATTAGTTTGTTTTGACTGGCACTTAGTCTGCATTGAGAGGTGGGAAACTAGGAGACAGGCTGAAAAAGACCCTGAGGCTGTAGCATGGACATGGCAGTCTTTCTCCTGGGTAAGCACGGAATTGGGATTACAGGCCTCTGTGGTAACTCCCCCGGAAACAAAGCCCAGGGTGGGTCCTGTGAATCTGTGCTTGTTCCATTCCTTGTTCAGCATACCTCTGCCAAGCAGATGAAACTCATTCAACAAATATTTATGGAGCTCGGACTGTGTGCCTGGCATCCTGGTAGGTGTTGGGTTTAAGGTGATGAGCAAGACAGTTGTGAATGCCGCTCACAAATTGCCCACAGACAGCAATGGAGTGGGAGAAGTGCTATGTCAGGGCGTGGTGGCCTGGAGTCCAAGAAGGCCTTCAGCTTCAAGCACCGTCATCTCCCGCCTGGATTATTGCAGTGGCCTCTGAATGGTCTCTTCACTTCCATCCTCATCCCCTTCCAGTCCATTTGCAAGACAACTGAACAGTCCTCTTAAAATGTAAATCTGGTCATGTCACTACTCAGAACCCTCTTGGCTCCCACCAAACTCAAGGTCAACTTTATTGGCCTACAAAGCTCTGGTCCAGTGGGTGCCTCTCTAAATTCCTCTGCTAGTACTCTCTGCCTTGCTCATTTGGCTCTAGCCACACTGGCCTCTCTGTTCCTCGAAAAGGCCAGGCAGATTCCTGCCTCAGACTTGACCCTTGTTCCCCCAGATACCTACCTGCACAACGTGCTCCCCGTCTCCTTTGTCTTCGCTTCATTGTCATTGGGTGGGGCCTTCCGTGACCACCCTACTTACAACGGCAACTCCTGTCTCCAGATACAGCCACCCCCTTCCTGCTCTGTCTCCATAGTGCTTGTGGAGCTGTATAGTTTATTTTGTTTATAGTGCCCCCCACTAGTATCCAAGCTCAATAAAGGCAGGATTTTATGTTCACTGCTGCATCCCCAGTGCCTGGAAGTGATCCTGGCACATAGTAAGTTTGTTGAATGAATAAAGTGGCATCTAATTGGAACTTGAGGATGAATCAGGTGATGAACTAGAGGGCGAGCATATTAGTTGGAGGAAACAGGATGTGCACAAGAAAACACCTCTGGGAGGAAGAGAAAGAAGCTGGGTAGGACTGGAGGTTAGAATGCAAGGAATGGAATGGGCAGCCCTGAGATGCAGGGCAAGTAACCTGGTCACAAGGGTTGCTGTGCCCTTGGCGTGACTGGCTGCATGCAGAGACCCCTGAGATGGCCCTGCCTTCCTTGTTGAGCGCCAGGGGTTCGGTGACAGCCCTTGGACAAGAGCTTGGGCTTTGGACAGCCCTACTGCTGTCTTATTCCTGAAATATCTAAGGCAGCTGTTTTTTGTTTCTGTTTTTCACTTGATAAGTGTGTTGGTTCTGGTCTTCTAAGAAGCAGAAACTAAGATGAGATTAGACATGCAAGAAATCCACTGGCAGCAGTGCCCATGAAGCATAAAGGGAGGGGAGCTGGCCCTGTGAAGGCGGTTCGGGCAGTAAGACTGCATGCAGGGCAGTGAAAGGTTCGGCTGGCCAGGCTGATGGCGAGTCCCTGAGGCAGAGGGTTACCTGTTAGAGGAGCCCCATGTCCCCGTCATTGGCTGGGGGCAGTCTGTGCAAAGTGTGAATCCCCTGGATGGTGGATCCAGGGGGAAAGCAGCTGGGGCCATCTGTCACTAATGCTTCACCCCAGCAGGAGATCTGAGGAATTGAGTTTCATGACCACCATAATAAGTCACATTGCAAATGGTAAAAAAAAAAATTCAAACAGTACAATAAAAAGTCTCGCACCTCAAATGTCCAGTTCTCCAGTTGTTCTCTGGGAACTATTGGCAACAGTTTCCTGTATCTCTTCTCAGAAATTTTAGGTATATTGACAAGTGAATATATGTATATATTTTAAAAACATAAGTGCAATTAGTATTTTTATTGATTTCAGAAAAGAAGGAAGAGGGAGAGAGAGTTGGAAACATCAATGATGAGAATCATTGATTGGCTGCCTCCTGCACGCCCCCTACTGGGGATGGAGCCTGCAACCCAGGTATGTGCTCTGACCAGGAATTGAACCCTGACCTCCTGGTTCATAGGTCGATGCTAAACCACTGAGCCACACCTGCCAGGCCCTCCGCAACATGAATACTTTATATACATTGTTCTGCAACTGCTCCCCACCCCCTCATCATATCAGCTTCTAAGTTCTGCCTGACTTTCATGACCGAATAGCATTCCGTTCGTTTGGTGATATTACTTAATCAGTCTGCAACTAGTAGATAATTAAAGTGTTTCCAGTCTTTTGCCTTTATAATCCCACAACCTTTGGGTGTACAGGACGACATTCTAAACAACTGAGCCACCCGGACAGGGCTAAATTTTGATAGATAATGACAAACTGCCATCCAAAGAGGCTACCTAGTTTATTCTCCCAACGGCAAGCATATCAGAGTACCCATTTTGCATTTTGCCAGTCTGAATTTCAGAGTGGTTTTAACTCACGTTTCTTTAATTACAAGTTACGTCGAGCACGCATGCATACATCTGTGAGCAAAGCCACGGTGTTGGGTGAGGAGTGTGTGTTTCCTGCTGCAAGTCTGAGTGCCTCCATAGAGATTCTAACTTAATCCAGTCTAGGGTTGGACCTGGGCACATGGCTCAGATCCAGTTCACGCCTGCACCCCATTTGAGACCCAGTGCTCTGAGGTTACTTGGCTTAACAAAAAATGTTCCCTTGCCCTTACATTGGCTGCCCTGGGGTTTGAGACGACCAGTTAATAATGCTGCACTTTGCTAATCCGCTCGGGGCATCTGTCTTGACAGGCATCCTGGTAGCTAATGTCAGAAGAAAGTGACTCTCTGAGAACCAGCCCTTCTGCGGCCTCACTTTCCGAAAATGAGCTGCCGCCAGCACCCAAGCCTCCTGGCTATGTGTGCTCGCTGACGGAAGACCTGGTCACCAAGGCCAGGGAGGAGCTGCAGGAGAAGCCGGAATGGAGGCTTCGGGACGTGCAGGCCCTCCGCGACATGGTGCGGAAGGAGTTCCCCAATCTGCGCACCTCTCTGGACGACGCCTTCCTGCTGCGCTTCCTCCGGGCCCGCAAGTTTGACTACGACCGGGCCCTGCAGCTCCTCATCAGCTACCACAGCTGCCGCAGGAGTTGGCCCGAAGTCTTCCATAACCTGAGGCCGTCGGCCTTAAAAGAGGTCCTCGCTTCCGGATTCCTCACCGTGCTGCCCCACACCGACCCCCGGGGCTGCCCTATCCTCTGCATCCGCCCAGGTATGGCCCAGAGCTGTTGCGGGGTGCTTGTGCACTGCCTCAGTCTGGGGTGTGTCTGGCCAGCCCCTCTCTCCCTTTCCTTTTCCGTTTTATCCCCTCCTTGTGTTAGTCAAGGCCTTTTGATGGCACATAACAAACCCTACTCAACTTGGCTTAAGACAACAGGGAGGATTTAGTCTGAGGAGACAGGAGCCTCTCACAGAACCAAGCCCACACCTGGAGCCAGGAGTCAACGCAATTTTACCCAAACTGTATGGTTAGCGTGGGAAGAGGTGGTTCCCCAAGGAAAACCAGGGTGATGTCCTGAAGATAAAGGGACACATTTGATGGCAGAAGGCATAGATGTCCATTTAGATAAGTATTATTGACCTGGCTGGTGTGACTCAAGTGGTTAGAGCATCATCTCTCGCACCCAAGGGATACGCCATCAAGGGCATGATTCCCCATCAAGGGCATGTACCTGGGTTGCAGGTCCATCCCTGGCCCTGGTCTGGGTGCATGTGGGAGGCAACCAATTGATGTGTTCCTCTCACATAGATGTCTCTCTCTTTTCCCCTTCTCCATCACCTCCCTTTCACTTGCTCTAAAAATCAATGGAAAAAATAATCTCAGGTGAGGATTAGCAAAAAATAAAAATAAATACTGTTATCCTATTCTACTTATGAGGCGATGTAGGCTCAGACTAAGGAAGTAACTTGCCCAAGGTGTAACTTCAGAGTTCACACTTTTGACTTCACCACAATTGCATTTCCATTTCAGGAGTTAAGAAATGTCAGCTGCTGCTGAAGGTGTCCAGTTTCCTAACCTCAGTAGAGCCATGCCAATTGAATATCATCTTGCTTTTCTGCTTTTAAAGGACAATGTTAGCACAGAGATAAAGCTTAGCATGTCTGATTGTTTGTATGTATTTTTGTAGCATACTGACCGTTTCTTATGACCTTAGACAGATGGGTACCGAGCAACTATCCAATTACCGAAAACATCCGAGTCATCTACTTGACATTGGAAAAACTCATTCAGTCTGAAGAAACCCAAGTGAATGGAATTGTCATTCTTGCGGACTACAAAGGAGTGAGCTTATCAAAAGCATCTCACTTTGGCCCTTTTATAGCCAAAAAGGTGATTGGCATCCTCCAGGTATGGCCCCCATGTGTCGTGCACCTGTTCTGTTGTTTCCCCAGGACCCTGTCCAGTCACCCATGTGATACACACACCTCACTTTCTGCTCCTACAATCAGAAAAATACGAAAGCATTAAAAGTTCTTTAAAAAAAAAAAAAAAAACCTATATTTTATTGATTTTTTTACAAAGAGGAAGAGAGTGGGATAGAGAGTTAGAAACATTGATGAGAGAGAATCATTGATCAGCCGCCTCCTGCACACCCCCAACTGAGGATGTGCCCACAACCAAGGTACATGCCCCCGACCGGAATTGAAACCCAGACCCTTCATTTCGCAGGCTGACGCTCTATCCACTGAGCCAAACCGGTTTTGGCTCATTATACATCCTTTTCCTAAACGGCAGTTTCCAAGAACCTATCCACAGTATAGAGTGTTTACTTGCAGTGCGAAAGCATTAAAAGTTCTATTTACCACTCATACCCATGAGGGTCTCCAGTAGTTTCTGAGGTACCTTTAATCTAGGCAAGATCAGCTTTCGGGACAAGACTCCAAAAAACCAGAGCAATGCTTTCTGTTCTTTTTTTGGTCAAGGAGACAGAGGAGAAATTCTCCTAACAGGTGAAACTGAGAATTTGTGTTTCTGCCCAAGGTCATAGAGCCTGCCGTGCCGCCTGTGGGACCTGCGGGTGGGGAGTCCTGTTGAACTGTTTGGCCCGATGCTTTCACCCCTCAAGCTGTGTCTCAGAACACAAGTCACTGAGAACCATCAGGTTCCCAACATAATGCAGGGCACGGTCATTATGTATCTTCACAGGGTGTAGTGGTTGGCAAAGAAAAGACTTTTACCATCATCATAACCCATTCAGTGCTTTAAGGAATCCTTTCAGATACACAGGTCAAGAATTCTTTTTCTTTGTCGGTTAGGCAGAGAAACAGACCTAGCAGATAAAGTGTGGCCCAGGTCTCTCCAGCTTGACTCCTAGCTCATTCTGACCCAGCCCATGGGTGCTGGCTCCTGTGAGCTGTGGGGACCAGAGATAGAACCGTTCTCAGTGTGTTGGAGGCCCTCCTGTGCCCCAGGCTGAGGACTTCAGTGTCACATTTGGTCATTATTTGAGGCAGCGCTCTGGCTTTCCTTGGCTTCTCCTCTTCTGATGCCTCCTGCTAAACCCCAGGTAGATTTAAGGGTCAGCATAATGAGTTTAGATTATTGTTTGCTGTAAGATGATCTGAGAGACAAAACCCCAGGGTTAAATAAATTTGAGAAATATGATAAAGCAAGTCCCTTCCTTCTGTCTATCACTGTAAACATTTGCATTTAAGGCTCTGAACGTCCTGCAGTTAAAGGAAATCTGTCTGACTATATTTAGTTTGCTACTTCTCAAACTCATTTACCTGCCACGAAATGCTTCTTTACATCACACCTTGTAACATCCTGAGAAATACATTTGGGGCAGCTCTGATAGTTACTAGATCCATCCACGTAGGTTCAGACCACTTTTTACCTTCCTGTTTAGCCCCTACCTGGGTTTCTTTGAGGAGATCTTGAGAATCAGACCAGACTGAAGGTTTCACGGGGGAGGCAGGCTGTGGTAACAGACAGTTTGCAAATACTCCGTATGTTCTAACATCACCTTCCCTTCCCTCACAGGATGGCTTCCCCATTCGGATTAAAGCGGTCCACGTCGTGAATGAACCTCGAATATTTAAAGGCATTTTTGCCATCATAAAACCATTTCTGAAGGAGAAAATAGCAAACAGAGTAAGTGATGGTCCTACTAACTTAAGATACTTTTGTTTCTGCTTCCTTTTTTGTGACATCTACAAATTTAATTGTGACATCAATAAACTTAGTTTATTATTTATGCCCTGGAACTATTCATTTGGAAAGTACAATTAACAATACTTCCTGTGAGGTGAAGAAGAATAAGAATATAATATTTGACAATAGAGAGAGCAAAGCCAGAATTGTTATCTAAGAGCTTTGCTGCTCTGTGATCAGACAGACATTTTCATGTCCTGGGCTGGCCATTGTAAACCAACATTATATGTTACATGTAAGAGGATGGAAAGGGGTAGCCATGTGGCAGGTGCTTAAGAAGAGCTTTGGAGATTTCTTACTACAGCTCCTTGGGTTTCAAAATACTACTTAAGCCTTCCCAGTTACCTAATTTGTTGTCTTGCTGTATAAGTTTGTGGAATAATTCAAGGTTCATGAGGTGGTTGAGCTTTTAGCTTAATTTTATTTAAGAAAGGGTAAATGACACTTGAAAAGATGGAAGAGCCTTTTCCGGCTCCGTGATGGAAATGTGTGGGTGGGAGTTTTCCCCTCCCGAGCCTTGGAACATTGGGATCACTCCAAAGATTGGGTCTTGAATGATATAATTTTTTTTTTTTTTTTCAAAGAGGAAGCACAGAAAGACAGAGGATCTCAAGATTGGAAGAGAAAGAACTTAAAATCCAGATCCCCAGACCTTTTTCTAAAGATTTTTTTTTTAATATTTTTTTTATTGATTTCAGAAAGGCAGGGAGAGAGAGATAGAAACATCAATAATGAGAGAGAATTATTGATCGGCTGCCTCCTGCATGCTCATACTCTCCACTGGGGATCAAACCCACAACCTTGGCATGTGCCCTGACCAGGAATTGAACCATGACCTCCTGGTTCTTAGGTCAAAGCTCAAACCCTGAGCCACACTAGCTGAGGTCCCTGAAGGTGTTAATTCATCAGCTCAGGGGTAGAGCCCAGGAATCTGTGCTTTTAAAATCTCCTAGGTACATGCATATAAGTACAACTAATGGACACAAAACTCTGGGGAGAGTGGGTATGTATGGGAGGGGGGCACAATGGTAAAATATGTACACAGATGAAATTTAATAAAAATAAATAAATAAATAAAATCTCCTAGGAGATTCCGATGCACAGTTAGGTCTGAGAACCACTAACTTAGTGGCCTCCACGCCTGGGGTTGAGCCTTTTTCCGAAGCAGCCTTTGGGCCAAGTCCTTTTTTCTACATCTGTGAAATGACCTTATTTGTGGCCCATAATCTTGTTCCTTTGGTCCTTTATATGTTCATTCATTCATTCAAAAATATTGATCAAACACTATGTGTGAGTATGTTCTAGATCAGTGGTCGGCAAACTCATTAGTCAACAGAGCCAAATATCAACAGTATAACGATTGAAATTTCTTTTGAGAGCTAAATTTTTTAAGCTTAAACTTCTTCTAACGCCACTTCTTCAAAATAGACCTGCCCAGGCTGTGGTATTTTGTGGAAGAGCCACATTCAAGGAGCCAAAGAGCCACATATGGCTTGCGAGCCACGGTTTTCCGACCACGGTTCTAGATAAACAAAATAGACCAAATTCTTGGTCCCCAAGAAGCTTACATTTTAGGACAGGGGTGGAGAATTTCTAGTCCACAGGCCATATAAAGTCCACAAAATCATTTGGCCTGGCCCTGCCAAGGCAATAGGGGTGAGTCAAATAAATGTTTGACCAAATATAGCAGGCTGATTTTTAAGTTAATAATTTTGTGTGGCTTGAGAATGATGTAATAAATATCCAAATGGCCTTTGGCATTTAAAAGGTTCCCCACCCCTGTTCTAGAGAGACATAGACAACGAATTATATGTTACCTGGTATTAGAATGTGATGAGTGCAATGGAGAGAAATGAAGCAGTGAAAGGAGTTAGTGAGTATGGAAGGGGGAAAGGGTTGTAGTATTCAACAGGGTAGTTAGAGGTAGCGTCATTGAGAAGTTGGCGTTTGAGTAAAGTATTAAGAGAGGCAAGGGAAGGAGCCTTACAACAGGCCGATCCTGGGTTGGGAGCGCACCTGGCATACTGGAGGAGCAGCAGAGGGAAAGTAAGAGAAGGGGGAGGCAGAGAAGTAATGGGGGCTAGATCATATGGCCTTTGGCATTTAGTCTGTGAGATGGGAGCACTGGAGAGTTGTACAGAGGAGTGACATGATCTGACATCCCCCGAAATGAGCTTAGATTGTGGTGGGATAAGGTGCAAGCAGGGAGACGGGGAAGGAAGTTGTTGGGAATTTAGGTAGAGATGATGGTGGCATAGCACCATTGAGTGGCAGTGAAGTGGTTGGATTCTGGGTATATTTTGAAGGAGCAGCCTACGGCCATACCACCCTGAACGCACCCGATCTCGTCTGAAGGAGCAGCCAACAGGGCACTTGGTATAAAAAATAGAAAATTGAGGATCCTCAAGCTTTTCAAGGAACTGGAGGGGTAGAGTTGTCATCAACCATTTCTTAATTCATTCAAGCTATTTATTTGAGCACATCCCATGAAGGAGGTCAGTGAATTACTAACTAACCTAAAGCCAGGTGTGTTTTCATTTCATTCCCCTCTAGTTTTTCCTCCACGGGTCTGACCTCAATTCTCTCCACACAAACCTTCCAAAAAGCATTCTCCCCAAGGAGTATGGGGGCACGGCTGGCGAGCTGGACACGGCTGCCTGGAGCGCGGTACTGCTGGCTTCGGAGGAGGACTTTGTGAGAGAGTTCTGCCAACCTGTCCCCACCTGCGACAGCATCCGGGCCCTGCTGCCCGAGGGGCTGACCTCAGAGGCGCAGTGCGATGACTCCATGCGGGCCGTGAAGTCACAGCTCTACTCCTGCTACTAGCCAGGCCCTCTGAGCATCACCAGCTTTAAGTCCTTTCCTTTTTCTCTTTGGGGAGGCACATGGAGAATTTTAGGTGCCATGGATTCTTCCTCCTGCTAATTAAGCTGCAGCATGGAGGAAAAGCTGAGTGTGAGTGAAAGGGCACGCCCTTTATTACTTGAATTATTCCATGGAAGACATGGAAAACGTCCCCAATGATTCCCAAATTTGTGGAATCCCAGTTTGCAACCATTCATCTCGAAGTTGTATCTGGTTCTTAAACATCTCAAAGCAGGAAGAATGAGGACCAAAGTCACTTTGATCCCATCTTCGGGAGAAAACAACCCGATTGGCCAGTCAGCACACTATGAAACACCGGGGTCAAGCCTGCATGGTGGCCACATGTGAGACTTGAGGAGTTTGTGTCTTTCCCGTGAACCCTAACTCCAGACTTCTGTTGCTCATCAGGAATCTACAAGTCTTCGGCCCAGGCCCGTTGCCATCATGGGTTTGGAAAGCACCTTACCTGGATCAGGCACACAGTGGGACATCAGCAGCTTGACCGGGACTTCCTGGTCAAGTTCGGGAGCCAAGGCTTTAAGCATCTGTAGGATTCATTGGTTGAATCTTGCAGTAGAAACTTGTTTTCCCAAATCCATAAAGCCTTAGTCCTGGTTCTCAACAGAATCATGCAAGGTCCGAGAAGTGTATAATTTTATTCAACCCAAAATACAGGAGGCCAGGCCTGTGTGGCTAAAAGAATGTTGGCCAAAGAATTAAGAGACCTGAGCTCCAGCCTCAGACGTGTGGCTCTGTGAGCCTCAGTGTCCTCATCTGTAAAATGATGCTAAATGAAATGACACATCCGGCCCTTTGGGCTGCTGAGATCCTGGGGTTTGGTTTCGTTATTGGACGTTAGACATTGCTTTTCCGCCTAGAAAGAGGACTCTCTAGATGCAAGTGGCTGGATCCTGTATTCTGTGGTACATCTGGGCCTTTCCAGGAGGGATGTGTCAGTCAGTCACCATTTGGCCCTGCCTTTAAAGAAACAAGTATGTATATTGCTGGAACTCAGTGATACCAGCCTCCTTTTCCTAGTGAGGGGTAAACTTGAATGGCTTTTGTGACGGCAGGCAGGTGAGACGACCAGGTTCTTGTATGAACTCCATCCCTGAGATTCTGGTCGTATAATTGTAAAGCTGGCAGCAGGGAATGGTTAGGTTACTTGGGATTCTGAAATTTTGGTTTCTGGAAATGAATATAAGGTCACTCCTGAGGGCCCCTGCCCTCCCAGACCCCGGCATTTCTCTGTGTTGTGGATGGGCACACTTTAGTCTGTCCAGCTAGAGTGGATGTTTGTTCTGCAGTTCCATACTTTAGACTCATCCTGTCAAGAATTTAGCCTTTGCCCAGGCATCATATTAGGTGGTTCATCTCATGGCTTTTGACTTATTTCCTTTCCTATTCATCCCATGTAAATGATGACGTTAAAGTAACCAGTACTATGTATTGTGTGTGTACCTTCTCTGTGCATTACTAGGCCACCAGGCAAGGTAGAAGTGAACAGTACACCGAAATTCCAAGGCCAGTCTGTTGCAAATAAGCTGTTCATCTTTATAGCACTTTAAAAATGTCTGGAGAGGTTGTTGGTAGAAGTTATGTACCTCTTTAGTGCCAATTCTAGGGTAAGTTCTTTTCACCATAGATACTAACCATGGATCCTCTAGGGACCTGGCTGAGCTGAAAGTGTCAAAATGTACACCCCTGGCTGCCTCTAGTTCCGTCTTGACAGTGACGGTGTGACCAGCATTGCTGAAAAGATCTAAACAGGACAAGTGGGGTAGCTAATGCAGGTAGAGGTTTGCCTGGATGGGAAAATTGGTTAGAGGCTTTCCTAGTTCCCAAAGAGATTTTTTTAAAAAGGGGAAAAAAAAAAAATTTGAAAACCGCTAGACAGAGAGAAATGAGTTGCTCAGCCCCACCAAGTTTCCAAGGTTGAAATGGCATTCCATTGCATGCCTTTGTCTAGGTGACTTCATAGGAGTGGCCAAGCTCACCTAGAGAATCATCTCAGAGACCAGCAAGGATGCTGGTCAGGCCTTTGTCATTGGACCCAGGAGCTGTTTCAGCTTCTGAAAGGAGTCAGAGCCAGGGTTTGTCTGCCTGCCTGCCTTTGTAGTGGCCCCTCAGAGGGATCCAATCGTTTGGCACCTGAGGAGTTTGAAGCAAGCTGGGAAACTAGGGCCTCCCTGGGGGAAAATCAAGGCAGTCTGGTGTGGCTTCACAAGCTTCTCCAGTCTCCCCAGCAGGAGGACAGGGAGCACCCAGGGAGCCACACTCATTAGTGGAGGCACACAGATGGCACAGCCGTGAACAGTGGAGAACGGGGAGTGCTTTCCTTTAGGGAAAAGCTCCAGCCCATCCCACAGGCTCCTGAAAACGAACTTTCCCCACAATGCAGGGTAGTGTGTAGAGTGGGGAATGGAAAAGAAGAGTCAAGCAGGAGACCTGAGTTCTAGCTGTACCTAGCTGTGTGGTTTGGGGTGCACACTCCTGAATCACTCCATTCTGTACTAAAAGGGGATCACACCCTGACTCTGAACCCTCCCTTCCCAGCATCGATCATCCTGCCCCAGTCCCTTCTCTCTCCCCCTGCCCAAGCTGGGTAATTCAGGAAGTACCTAAAACTTCCAAATGTAGGTGTAGGTAATATGGTTCCTCCTTCCCCCATACTGCTACACAAAAGTATCTCTTCCTGGAATCCCATTCTACATTCATGGAGAGGTAGAATCTACAGAAAGAAATAGAAACAGCCAGAAATGCAACCCTGGCTACCTCTTGAACTCCTTTATGTTTCATCCTGCTTTCACAGGGAGCCACCTGTCCTTAGGTTTATAAACACTTTAATACATTTTTATTGATTTTTTACAGAGAGGAAGGGAGAGGGATAGAGAGCTAGAAACATCGATGAGGGAGAATCATCAACCAGCTGCCTCCTGCACACTCCCCACCGGGGATGTGCCCACAACCAATGTACATATATGCCCTTGACCGGAATCGAACCCGGGACCTTTCAGTCCGCAGGCCAATGCTCTATCCATTGAGTCAAACCGGTCTTGGCAGGTTTATAAACACTTTAGCTTACAAGATATATATATATATATATGATATATATATTCGAGATATATATATATTTTTTTTTTTTTTGCCAAAAAGTGGCAGGGTAGAGAATTTCCTCCTAAATTCCCGTGAGACATTGAGCCTTTTAGAATTCTCCCTGGTGGGCAGTTTCTTTAAATGCCATCTGATTCTCAGATCAGTTGTGGGGTTATTCTTTTTATTTGGGTAGACAAATGAAAAGGTGGTGGTACCCTGGCATTATTATAATACCTCATATTAAAGTTTTCCTTTGAAAGCTCTTTCGTTGAGGGAGTAAAATGATAGCTAATGTGTAAGTATGGCTGTCCTGGGGCATGAAAGGGGTGGAGATGCCAAACATGGACTGTTCGGGAATGATGGCGGTTCTCACACTCCTGGGTACTGGGATCTGTCAATTTTGTGAATTTCACTTCATTTTCTTTCTGCTTTCTGGACTCAGAAAATGGCTTGCTTGAAATGCAAGGAGCAGACATCAGTCAGATATCCCTCTTTAGCATTTGCTCCACGGGGAAGCCCAGTGTGATTTGTAGATGAAGATGCTAGTGACGAATTCACCGTTTGCCAATTCGCTGCATTTCCTTCCATCTCACTGGACGACGTGTTCAGCCGGACAGCCAGTCAGCTGCCCTCGGGGATTCTTGCAGATGTGCGTCGCCTCCTGGCACCCCAGGTGGGACCCTGTCACAAGTGAAATACTTGAAACTTTCCTTGGGCCAGCCACCTCTGACCCCACTCTGATGGGTGGGAGGTGGGCCAGCTTTCTGACCATATTGGGGCATCATTTCAGCCACTGGTCACATTCCTCACGTCAAACTGAAATTCAGTTTGGCTCTGAGTATAGGGACACATGGTGGTGGAGTCATCTACTTCAGTGTTTGTTTTGACCAAAAGTTTATTTTTCTAGTGCATTTTCTAAGTCAAAGTGGTGAAAACGTGTAATTTTAGTATGCATGACTGGGTCTCCAACAATAAAAACCCCTGGAAGGACAAACGTGTGTGGAGTCCCTTTGTGACAATGGCAGCTTGTTATCCTGGCATGCAGGCCTGGCACAGCCTCCCTGCAGCGGAGGCAGGGCTGCTGCGCTGGAGATCACGTGCGATTAGAAGACGCCAGTGCGTAGAAAGGAGGACGGAGCGGATGCAGTGATGCAGTGTGCACATTTCTTGGTTCTCAAGGCCCAGATGCACTTTCCGGAGCAGGCCTGAATCCTTCTAGTGATAGCGAACAAGTTCCTGAGCTCAAGTGGGCTGAGCATGATGGTGTCCTTCACATAGATAACCTCATCTGTCAAGGCCCTTAGTGAAGCAAGATTATTGCCCCGTGGGGTGAGAGACAGAAGCTGAGCATTTTGCCCAGGGACACACAGCTAACCCAGTAGAACTGGGATTCAAAGCCAGGCAGTCAGCCGCTAGGCTGTGCACTTCTCTTTAATTCTTATTGTCAGTCCATGGACAGAACACAAAAGGAACTTTTAGAGTGAGGGAGCTCTAAAAGGCTTTATTTACTTAGACTTTACAGTTTCTTAACTTCTGACACCCAAGTTGTAATGGAACATATTATTCTAGAGTAAACCTACACTCCTTGGAAGGGTAACGGGTATGGCTTGATCAATGGGCCTCTGCATGCTTAGCTGTTTCTCTACCTGTCCCATTTGTTTCTATAGAGGAGCACGCACTCTGCCCCAGAGACAAACCCAGGTCCCCATGGTGGGTCTTGTGTGTTGGTGATGACTCAGTGAGAAACACTCTCATGCAGGATGTCCATACATTCACTGTTGGCTTCTGATGACTCGACAGGTAAGGACTCATATTGCAACATAGCTCTTCAGGTCAGTCTTCCTGGAGGAACCCGTGGGGCTTACGCTCAGTTTGTCTCTCACACCTGGAAACATGGAGCTAATGGCCCCAGTCCTCACCTTATAGCAGTGTTACAAGGTAATTATGACACACTTTATAAGCCACTGGAGTTACTGTCTATGTTATGAGTCAGCATATTCTTCTTTTCTAAAATACCTTAGTTTCCCTACTGCCCACTCTTTACATAGTACTGGTTTGGCATTCCTATAGTAAATGGCAGCAAGTATTTCACATTATTGCATTTATAGCTGGCGAGTAATAAAATCATTTAAGGTGCCACTTTACTGGGAAAAATGTTTTTATCTAAATGTTCACCCTCTTACCTGACAAGGTGCCAGCCATTAGAGATAGTGACCTATTAAGATGCTAGGCACTGCCTTCGGGGGATGACTAAGTTTCCTCTCTTAAGTGATGGAGCGCCAGCTGACTCCTCTGTAGGTCCAAGCAGTCTCTAGTTGACATTTCTCCTGCATCCTAGTAGGCCAAAGGACAATGGGGCCTAACTGAGGAAAGAACCACGCCTGGGGTTTGTTTCTGGGTAACTGTGGGCAGATCACCAAGCTCTCTCAGCCTCGGTTTGACCTTGAAAAGAGAGAACCGCCACCACGTCGCAGGGGTGTGGACAGTGTGTGTTCACTGCTTGGTACATGTAGGTATTTATGTGGTAGTCATGACTGTTCTTCGCCCGAGGTTACAGGCATGGCGTGGTGAGTCACTCAGCAGGACTTAGAACATCTCTGAGTAGGTACCACGATGGAAACAATAGACCAACACAAAGAAGTAAAGAGATGAAGTGCTGCTCCTGTTAGTAAGCATAAGCCTGGTATCTGCCATCAATCTGCAAAGATCAAATGCATGAGTCATATTATTGAATACTCATTTTAACTTAATGTGTAAAAAGAAAAGTACAGTCCAACAAGGACGTGGACAAAAAAGCTGTCCTGGTTTAAATTAAGCCTGAGTTAGGATTGGGCCCAGAACATTAAAAGCACCGACAACCAGGTTCATGGTCATTCTTTGGCAGTATCTTCGGTTGTCAAGAGAAAGTCTTATTTCCCAAAGAAATGAGTACCTTGTAACAACCACCTAGAAAATAATGGGCCTACGAGCTTTCTCCCAGATGTTGCCTTTGATGAATCCCTACAGTACACTTCGGACCTCCAAGCCAGGGCCTGGTCAGTAGTCCTGGGAGACAGACAGGACTGTGAATGGTGATGAAGCCCTGGGCGACTCATCTGAGTGAGATGGCACCATGAGGTCTGACGATTCAGAATACCCCCCTGCTTTCCAGTCTGACCCTGGGCTTAGTCAAGATGCTGGTACCTATGCTCGTTTGTGACTCAGCACTCATGCAGGCAATCACTTCAATCTTGGCTACACTACTGTGTTTTCAACTTAAAACTATGTACAGGGGGACACTGCCCCCTAATTTTTAAAGAAAATTTGTTATTTTAAATTAAATATCAAATTTTCTATCATGATAAGAAAAAATTTAAAAACTTTATGAAACCTATTTTACCGTTTAGTATTGCTTTTATTTTGAATTATATAAGGTGGCGAAGGGGGTGTACCATGTTTCCGAAGTTTAGGACCTTTAATGGGTTTGATCTGGGTGGCGCTGCTGTTAAGGAAAGTGGGGTATCTGCTTTACACTGGGAAAGGGCTAACCCTGCCCTATCTGACCCCCAAATCCTTTACAACCTTATCTCTGCACCCCAACATTAATCACTGGTTTAAAAGATGGTAGTTCCAACAATTCCTATTATCAAGCCCTGCTTCTGTACCCCCCAACACCTGCACCCCAACCGAGATTGTGCCCTCTATGTTTAATTCTGTAAGAATACCTCATTCTAGCCTGCACTAGATTTTGGCTGAAAATCTATGACTTCAAATGTCCAGGTTTTTTTTTAGCCCATATTTAGATTACCAGCTACTACCAGAGGGCTTAAGATGGGTTAAGCACTTGACAAAGTAGCTTTGTATTATCTTTTGTTCAAACAAAGAAAACAATGAGCCTCAGACAGGTAGTTACCACCCAGGGACATAAAGCTTAGTATATTCTCAATAAGTATTAGATGTTTGACAATAGAAAATGGCAAAACTGACACAAACCCTGTTGTCTTCCAAGCATATGCTCTTCGCCATTCCTAAGGGACCACACCTTCATCTTTCTAACACACCTTGTCCCTCTTCCTGCCCCTCCCATACATATAGAACCACCACTGACCTCGGTGATTAAACCAGAGTCACTCAGGAATCTATTTCTCTTCCATAGCTAATCACCTGCCCATTTTAAAATTTTAATTACTAAGCAGCTCTGATCTGTCGATTTCTCTCCATCCTCATGTTTACTTCTCTGTTTCAAATCTTACATGGACTACCCTGGTCCTCTCTCTCTAACCCCATTCTCTATATACAGTGAATGAAGATACAATTTATTCATGCCACTATGAATATGCTCCCCATTGCCTCAACGTCAGGTCCAAACTCTTCAGTGTGGTTTATAAAGCCCTTCCTAACCTAGTCCCTGCCCATTTCTCCCCAGTCCAGCTTTACTAAACAAGTCTTTAAAAACCTCCCTGCCTTTAACATGCAGACTTGTCTGCTTTCCAGCACTGTGGTCCCACTTCCCATCTCTTAGCTAATGTCTAACAATTCGTGGCTTAGACATCCCTTTTTCCAGGAAGCCTACCATGAATGACACCCTCACCTGGGCACCTTTGCAATTCCTAAGTCACAGGACTAATCATTTTCACCCTCTTGGAAACTGTGAGTCAAGATGGTAGAGCTAGTGTCTGTCATTCTTAAGGCTGTATCCCAGAGCCTGATGGGCTGGTAAAGAACAGACAGTAAATCTTTGCTAAAAGAACAGATCTCTAACTTCTTGCATGCTCTCTCTCATGGAGGGTTCCCGCCAGTCCCTGTCCCCGTCTCTCATCTACCCAAGAGTCTTACCCAGAGAAGGTATTTATTGGTACACTTTTTAAATGAGTCCAAGACTTTTCTCACCAGCCCTTAAGTTTAGAAGGAATAGATGCATTCTGCTGATAAATTTAACTGCCTATAGAAGTCTAAAAATATGTAGAATGGCTGCTAATTCATAAAAGCTGTTAAAGGGCCTTAAAAGTGTAAGTCTATTTTAATCAAATACCTTATAGTGCAAATATAATAAATTCACGTGCATTTTACTTTTACATACTCATAACAAAATAATTACACAGACTGAAGCTGCAGTTTTTTCCTAAGTGAGTCCTCATTTTTAACCAAACCTACAAAGCATTTATTGAAATTAATATTCTGGCAAAGCCACATACTTGATTGGAGCAGTGTCAATGCTGTAGTATAAAAAAATGAAGTCTTAAGATGCAGAAGCAGCAGCCCTATCAGCAACCCCTCTTCTGGGGAAGGACCCCAAATATACTCCTTCGCCCAATTACTATGATATTATTCCCCTTAAGAGTTTATGGACTGAACAGAATGTTTGCATCAATAAGTAAAGACTTTCAAAGAGGAAAACTGTCATAGAAGTACATTATTACTTTTTCTTCCTGCTCTTTAAGGATATTGCAATAGAAATATATTAACAATGGCCTCAAATATCCAATATTTTTCTATTTTCTATTTTAAAACAAAATTGTAGGAATCTACGGGTCTTAATAAAGAACACTCTTCACAGCACAGCTGTAGTTCACTTTACAAGGCAAAAAGTTCCCTTTGCACTATTATATCCTTAAAAATAAACAATGTACATGTAAATAAAAAATTCAGATCCTGTATCAATCATTATTCAGTCTTGCCTGGGGATATGCACTTGGATATAGTCAACTTCGCAAAGCATTCACTTAATAGTTTAGTTGAAGCAAAAGTAAAAGGGCTTTCCGCAAAGGGAACCTTTATGTGGTGTCCCGGGCACTCAGAGGTTCAGCTGAAGTCTCGATTGGTGAGGACAACTGGAGCCACAAGGCTCCAGGCGTAAAGGAGGAGGCAGACCCAGCTGGAGCTGATCTTGACCCACACAGCTGGCCACTTGCTGGTAACATTCTGGAACTCTGCATCAGGGCTAAGAAAACAGAAGAAAGTCAGAAAAAAGGGAGCCTGACGCTAGAATCGAGCAGCCCCCACGTCAAAGCCAGGAAATTCTCCAGGGAAACTTGGCTGACACTATCCTTAGAAAGGTTCTAGAAGGGATCTAGGAAACGGCTACATTTAGTTTTTATGAGCAGGGAACCCTACCTCTCAAATGGCTTGTATCTCCTTGCCAGCATCAAGAGCCCTGACTACTCTAATCTTTGGGCAAAGTTCTTTGGGAACATCTGATAAAAGTCTAGATCAAAATGGTCTCCCTGAAACTCACCTTCCTTACCAATCATTACTTGGATCAGAATACTCTATATGACCCTCTCTAGACACAGAGAAAAATTAGAGATCAAAGATTAGCTTTATGTCATGATTTTCTCTCTCAAGCACTCTAGTGTGAAAGAGCTCCCCATAATCTGCACTGTGAGAATCCCAACTGGATTTTAAATCCAAGAGGAGAAAAAGTCCAAAGTATCTCAGAAGAGTCGGCATTGAATACAACTTGTTCTATAGGGAAGATAAGGGGTTCTAAAGTCAGGAAAATGGCTGGAGATTTTAGTCGGCGCAAGGAGGCTAGGTGATCTTCCATCTCGTCGTCTGAGCCTCCTACCTGTACCAGCCAGTCACGGTCATCATGATGTACAAGGAGGCCAGGCAGAGCATCAGGTGGAACATAGCGTAGCTGTACTGCACGCCCTCTTTCTCGTTGTCCACAGCCCGCCGTGGCTGCCCCTCTTCGTCGTCGCTGGCACCACTGGTAGATGTTTCACGGAGGATCACACTTTCACTTCCTGACAGGGTCAGCTTACTGACCTGGCTATTGGTAGAAGTGCGGATGCTGGAAAGTGATGCAAAGGAAAACAAATCAGAAATGGGCCATGAAGATGAACTGCGGCCATTGGTATATATAGGTACATGAAGGTTATTTCTGAACTGCTCCTACTTTGGGGTCTGACAGGCTTCTGAAAGGCCTGCTTGAAGTTCTGAACTCTTGCCTGCCAACGCAAGACAGACAGTACTCTCCTCGGTTACTCCTTGATGGTTTAACTGCTTAGGAGTTTCCCCAAACATACTATGCTCTCAAGGTCTACTTCCATGACTTCACACACACCTCTTCTATTCTTGGAATGTACCGCCCTCCAACCTCCCCCAGCTAACTTACTTTTCCTTCAGTTCTCTGCTACGTGCCATGTCCCCTGGAAATCACGAGGCTGGGTTCAATTCCCACAGCTCTTTATGCTTCCCTCTGCCACAGCACTTAACCATTCTTGTCTTTCTTGCTATTCACAGAACTCCTTAACAGCAATGACCTTAGTCACCTATGCTTTCTGGCACATAATAGATGCTCACTAAAGTTTGTTAAATGACTCAATAACAAAATACAGGACAAAAACTACATAATCATCTCCAAAGACATAAAATAAATGCATTCGACAAAATTCTTTTTAATATGACAAAAACACTCCAATGAGGAATAGAGGAAAATTTTCTCAAAATAATAAAGGGCGTTTATGAAAAACCCAGTGCTAAAATCATAATAGTGAAAGACTAAAAGCTTTTCTAAGATCAGGAATAAGACAAATACTATACTCTCCTTCAAACCAGAGCAATTAGGAAAAAAAAGATAACAGGCATCCAGATTGGAAAAAAGATATAAAATGATCTCTATTGGCAGATGATATGACCTTGTATATGGAAAATACTAAGGAATACACACTCTTGGAATCAATAAACAATCTTGCAAGATACAAAATTAATATACAAAAATTAATTCTACTTCTTTATATTAGCAATGAACAACCTCAAAGACAAATTAAGAAAAAAAAATCTCATTTACAATGTCATAAAAAAAAAATACTTAGGAAAAAATTTAACAAAAAAAATTTAAGACTTGTATACTAATAACTACAAACCACTGAAAGAAATTAAAGACCTAAATAAGATATCCCAAGTTGATGGACTAGAAGCTTTAATATTGTTGAAATGATAATACTCTCCAAGATCATGTACAGATTCAACTCAATCTCTTTCAAAATCCCAAATACCTTCTTTATGTTTTGGCAGAAATTGACAGGCTGAACCTAAAATTTACATGGAAATGCAAGGGACTCAGGATGGCCAAAACAATCTTGTAAAAGAACAAATTTGGATGACTCACACTTCCCAATTTTAAAATTTACTACAAAATAGTAGTAATCAAAAAAGTGGTATTGGCATAAGGAGGGACAAACAAATCAATGAAGTAGAATTATGAGTAAAAAAATAAACCATTACATTTATGATCAACTGATTTTTGACAAGGATGCCAGGACAAGTCAATGAGGAAAGAATAGTTTTTCAACAAATGGTCTGGGACAGTGGTCGGCAAACTCATTAGTCAACAGAGCCAAATATCAACAGTACAATGATTGAAATTTCTTTTGAGAACTATATTTTTTAAACTTAAACTTCTTCTACCACTTCTTCAAAATAGACTCGCCCAGGCCGTGGTATTTTGTGGAAGAGCCTACACTCAAGGGACCAAAGAGCTGCATGTGGCTTGTGAGCGGCAGTTTGCCGACCACAGGTCTGGGACAACTGGATATCCATATACAACAGAGTGAAGTTGGACCCCATACTGCAAACCATATACAAAAAATAAAAAGACAAATAAGCCAGTTTAAAATATCCAATTGTCCATCAACTCATGAATGAATGAATAAATGAAATATGGTATTATCACACAATGAATATTATTTCCAGCAACAGAAAGGAATTTAAAGATGACATTTACTACAACATGGATGAACCTTGAAAACATTAAACTAAGTGAATGAAGCCAGTAACAAAACCATATAGTGTATGATTCCACGCATACGAAACGTGTGAAAAGCAAATCTAGAAACAGAAAAGAGATAACTGTCTGCCAGAGCAGGAGGGTAGGGGGAATGGGAAGTGACTGCTAATGTGCATGGGTTTTCTTTCTAGACAAGTAAAATGTTAAAACTGACTGTGGTGATGGTTGCACAATCTGTGAATATACTAATAAACAATTGAACTGTACATTATTAAAGGGTGAATTTTGCGGTATGTGAATTATATCTTTAAAAAAAAAAAAAAAAGGCCACGCCGAAACTGGTTTGGCTCAGTGGATAGAGCGTCAGCCTGAGGACTGAAAGGTCCCGGGTTCCATTCCGGTCAAGGGAATGTAACCTGGTTTCAGTCACATCCCCAGTAGGGGGTGTGCAGGAGGCAGCTGATCGATGATTCTCTCTCATCGATGTTTCTAAATCTCTATCCCTCTCTCTTCCTCTCTGTAAAAAAAATCAATAAAATATATTTTTAAAAATAAAATAAAATAAAAAATTTTTAATTTTTTTTAAAAAGGCCAAAGGCAAAACAAACAAAAATATGAAAATAAATGAGTATAGCTGTGTTTCACAAAAACTACTAATAAAAATAGGCAGACAGCCTAGGTATGCAGTTTGCCAATCCCTACTTTAGGCAATCATTTAAAAAAATAAAAAAATAAATAAAAAAACCACAGGTAAATCTACACTAATAAAAGGAAAAGATGCAAATTGCTGTACCTCCATGATGCCTACCAGCCAATCAGGAGGGGATATGCAAATCAGAAGGACAAAGCTGGCAGCTGGTCCACCACCCAGCCGTGTAGAGTGGCCGGGTGGGGAAGGACACTTGCTATGAGAGGATGCTTGCAAAGGAATCTACAGGAGTAGCACTCTAGCCACAGCGAAGATGAAGACGGCAGACTCTGGCCGGAGTCTGCAGCAAAGGTGGCAGTCTCCGGTCAGAGTGAAGGCCTGGGTCCTGGGTGCAGGAGGAAAACTGGTGCCAGAAGCCAGGGGAAGGAGGCCTATTGCACGAATTTTCATGCAACGGCCTCTAGTCTACATATAATGTTATAGAAAGCTGTCCAGATCATAGTGGCAGGTTCCTATTTTAGAATAGTAAAATTTTAGCATGTATTTATGCACCATGTTCCTAATTTATTTACTTTATTTATGTAATTTTAAAGATTTTTATTGATTTTTAGAGGGAGATGGAGTGAAAGAGAGAGAAACGTTGATGTAAGGGTGATACATCAATCAGCTGCCTCCCATACCCCCACAAGTTGGGATCAAGCCTGCAACTGGGACATGTGCCCTGATCAAGAATTAAACCAGCAATCTTTCAGTACACTGGATGACACCCAACCAACAAAGCCACACTGGTCAAGGCCCTTTTTAAAAATTATATATCAAGTGATATAGATAAAATTGTGTATATACCCCAGCCAGGTGACTCAATGGGTTGGAGCATCATCCTGTACACCATAATAAAGGTTGCAGTTTCAATTCCCAGTCAAGGCACATAGCTAGGTTGTGTTTGTTTGTTTGTTTGTTTAAATAAATTTTATTGATTTTTTACAGAGAGGGAGAGAGAGGAATAGTTAGAAACATCGATGAGAGAGAATCATCGATCAGCCACCTCTTGCACACCCCCTACCAGGGATATGCCCACAACCAAGGTACATGCCCTTGACCGGAATCGAACCTGGGACCTTCCAGTCCGCAGGCTGACGGACGCTCTATCCACTGAGCCAAACCGGTTTCGACTAGGTTGTGGTTTTGATCTTGGGTTGGGGCATGTGAAATTTTTAAAGATAAGCCAACCTATTTTCAGAGCCACTGCTCTAGCTGATCTAGGATCAGGGGTAGACTTTCTTCTCCTAAACAAATGAGAGGTATCTTTTTGTAAGGTTGGTTGGGGAGAATTATTTGATGAGAAGATTTAATGAGCTTTAAGAAATGGGTAGTCAAGGCAAGTCGAGGACTTTTAATAAAGAAGAGTCAGGCTGTTTTTAAAAAATTCCTCATACTACTTTTTGAAAGCAAAAAAGCTGCTTCACCCATATTAACCTTCATGAGAATCTTGTTCTAAGTATTTTTAAACTTACCTGGAATACACAAGGCAGAGAGCAAAGGTTAACAGCCCAAAAAAATTCCCATACTCCAGAAAATGCCCACTTTGTGTTGGTAGATCAGAGGTAGGGACCGGAGCAGTTGTATTTGCAGGAGCCAAAGTTGGTGCAGTCAGGTGTGTAATGATGCTCCATAGGCTTGGGTTGCAGGATTGATCTGAAAATGGGAAATATTTTATTATCTTTAGTTATCACCCATCCTGTCCTCTAAAGGATTTGAAGGGTTTGGCTACACTTGCAGCTATGACATAAAACATGAGAATGCTATATTTAAAAGAACTTGAAATTTAGCAGCCAGTAACATATCTGTGTTGCAATCAGTGACTTAGTTTTGAGGGAAAAAGAAACAATAATTTGTCAAATTTCACAGATATCAATCTTGATTTTACTGGTTTTGAAGTTTAATAAATCTTCTTGGTTCTATCGATACAATTATATAAAGGCTTTGAGCATAAGGAGTTTATCCCTAATTTTGTTGTCACATATTGACATAAGAATATAATAAAAGTAAGTTGAGCCTGGCTGGTGTTGCTCAGTGTTTGAGCATTGACCTATGAACCAGGAGGTCATGGTTCCATTCCCAGTCAGGGCACATGCTTAGGTTGTGGGCTTAATCCACAGTGTGTGGTGTGTAGGAGGCAGCTCATCAATGATTCTCTCTCATCATTGATGTTTCTCTCTCTCCTTCCCCCTTTCTCTCTGAAATCAATAAAAAAAAAATTTTTTTTTAAGTGGAGTCATCATTAGAATTTCTGCAATAATTGTTTTCCTTTTAAAGGAACCCACAGAATACTCTATTGAGAAACAACCCTATAACTGCCCAACTGGTATGGCTCAGTTGTTAAACACCAACCTATGAACCAGAAAGTCACAGTTCGATTTCCAGACAGGGCACATGCCCGGGTTCGCAGGCTCAATCCCTGGTTGGGGACATGCATGAGGCAGCCAGTCAATGATGCTCTCTCATCATAGATGTTTCTATCTCTTTCACTCTTCCTGTATCTCTGAAATCAATTTACAGATATTAAAAAAAAAAAAAAAAAAAAAAAGGAAAGAGAGCCGAAACCGGTTTGGCTCAGTGGATAGAGTATCGGCCTGCAGACTAAAAGATCCCGGTTCGATTCGTCAAAGGCATGTACCTTGGTTGTGGGCAGATCCCCAGTAGGAGGTGTGCAAGAGGCAGCTGGTCGATGTTTCTCTCTTATCGATGGTTCTGACTTTCTATCCCTCTTTCTTCCTCTTTATAAAAAATCAATAAAATATATTTTTTTTTAAAAAAAAAAAGGAGAAACCACCCTATAATAACTACAAAAGTAGATTTCCTACGGCTGTTTCCTCTAGAGTCCGTAACACCAAAGTAAAACACAATTAAAACAATTCTACAAAGAGCCAGGACAATGTTGTGTTTTCTAGCTCTCAACTAGTTTGACTTAGTCCAGGGAAAAGCCTAGAACAGCAATTTTCAACTGCTGTACCACAAGAATTTTTAAAACATGCAAAATCTGACTATTAGTCAGGGGCACTGACCTTTTCCCCCTTAGATTGTCAAATAAAAAAATGACAACAGCCAACATTATAGTCATCGGTGTGAATCAATCAAAATTACATCTTTTTTTTGTCAGATCGGCAAAAATTAAAGGTTGAACATCGATGGCCAAGGATTGCAGTTCCTTAGACTGTCAGCTATGAGTAGCTTGAAAAGACATCGAGAATAAAACTTGAAAGGCAAGTATCTGCAGTGACATTATACTTTCCAATGAAGTTTAAGTTTGTTCATTTGTTTGAATTTGCTCTAGCTTTAGTTTTAACTCTACCAAAGGAATAATTTCCTACTTTCATCAAATGAATGTGCTATTGCCATTCTCTTACCAGGCTCATTGGTCAGGGCTGACCATGTAAGGTATACGGTGTAGAGTGTGATGATGGAGGACTGCAGGAGGCCAGAACGAGGGTGGTGTTCCTATGGAATAAAAAAGAAAACAATGCCTCAGGGGTTGCAAGGGCTAACATTCTAAAACTCGGTGAACTTCTTTGGGATCCATTGAATTATTATTCACTAAGAACCTTCTGATGTTGAAAGATGACAAGTAACCTTTCAATTTAAACTAGCTTGAAAAGAACCCAGGAAAAGGAAGCATATATAGGCAGTCCTGGGGTTACATCGGATTCGACGTACATTGTTTCGTAGTTATGTCACCATCTCCCATTTATTTATAACAAAAAAAGAAAGTTGCGTCATTTCTTTCTTTTCTTTTTTTTTAATATATTTTATTGATTTTTTACAGAGAGGAAGGGAGAGAGATAGAGAGCTAGAAACGTTGATGAGAGAGAAACATCGACCAGCTGCCTCTTGCACACCCCCTACAGGGGATGTGCCCGCAACCAATGTACATGCCCTTGACCGGAATCGAACCTGGGACCTTTCAGTCCGCAGACCGATGCTCTACCGCTGAGCCAAACCGGTTTCGGCGTAAGTTGCATCATTTCAACATATGCACATATGTGCTTTATGTTTTTTATTATTTATTTACCACAAATAAAGTCAGGAATTGTTATCTTTTTTTAAAATTTTTTTTATTGTTTCACTTTATTACTGCTATGTATGTGCTCCATGTGAGTGATGTAGGTACTTATATAGGTGGGTTACAGCATGCCGTAGGAACGGATCTCCAACGTAACCAAGGACCTACTGTATTCTTGGTTCTCAAGGCATTTCATAATCCTGGAGATTTCTGTTTACCACAAAAGGCTTTGATTTATTAGTCTCTTAGTGCAGAGGAATCTTAACTCAGCTTTGCCATTAACTAACTGGGTAACCCGTCATCTCTCTGGATCTACTTCATTTTTAAAAAGAGGGGTGATGTCTAGATGTTCTTTTCATATCCTATATATTAAAAGGCTAATATGTAAATCAACTGAATGGTGGAACAACCGGTCACTATGACAAGCACTGACCACAAGGGGGCAGACGCTCAATGCAGGAGCTGCCCCCGGTGGTCAGTGCGCTCCCACAGGGGTGAGCGCAGCTCATCCAGAAGCTGGGCTCATAGCTGGTGAGCGCAGTGGCTGCCTCCATGGCAGCACTAAGAACAACTGAGGGATCCCGCACTACGAGAGGGCGCAGGCCAAGCTGAGACTCCTCCTCCCCACAGCCCCAGTGCACAAATGTTTCATATATAAAACCCCATTAATTTTTAAAAGTATGGTATTTAAGTGATAAAACTTAGGAGCATGAGTTTTGTTTTTAAGTATTAATAATCAATTCTGTTTTCTAGTTTAATTCCCCTAAAATATCTTGGCTAATGATTCATAAGTATCATTCTCAAGTTGTAAACAATCTTATGAAAATTATAAATTCTCAAGTTGCTTACATTTTCTTAAATAAGGAAATTATTCATTTAATTATACTACAGGCAACTTAATGGCATATTTTATAGTTACTAAGTTATAATAATATGAAAAATGTTTAACTTGGACATAAATTCATATATGTTACCTAGGTTTCAAGGTTAGCATTAGTTAAAAATCTCACAGGAGGAAGAAGCAGAAAACCACCATACCTGAATTTTTGGATGGATGGATATAATAGAAACCACAACACAAAGGATCAGATTAATACTGATAAAGAACTTGTTCTCTGTGCAGCCATCTGGTTTGGTGTAGTATATATAGAGCAAACTGACAGAGATGATTGAAAGGGTATACAGGATGCTTGTGATAAATAGTAAAACTGAAAGAAGAAAAAAAAGAAAACCAATATGAATACCCAATCCTAACAAACTTTTATATTGAAGACCAATTTTCTTCTCCGTATAAAAGTAGACATTATTTCACTTTTATGATGGGTTACTCATTTACAGTAAAATGACAGAAACCCCAAGGTTGAAGTTTCAGATTGTGTTCGAGTTGGCTCAATGTAAAATTATAAAATCCACCAAACAACTGAATTCATTTCCTGGATTACCTCACTTGAGTTCATGGGCTGAAAAACCAGACATCTGGTCATTCCAACCAGAATAAATCCTAACTAAATACAAAATATTGTTCATTATTAGCTTTCCTTAGGAACCTAAAAGATCTCTTAGCCTTCAAAATGTCCCAGTTTACAGCAAGCTGAGTGCCAGGGATGGTTCTAGCACTAAACAGGACAAGCATCTTTTGTGGCAGTTTTTCCTCTGTAGCTGCTGGCTACATAAACCTGTTTCCTATCACAACATGACCACATCGGCAGGACCATTGCCCCAATTAGGGAGGCCCAGGCCACCGACAGGTGGGCTGTGACAGGTGGACGGGGCCTCCCCTGGGGGAGGGAGGGGGGGAATCCATTAAGGACCCTCGGTTGGGTGGGTGGGGCCTAATCAGTTGCAAGGCTCTTGGACTGTGAGAGGGCACAGGCTGAGCTGAGGAACACCCCTCCCCAAGTGCATGAATTTCGTGCACAGGGACTCTAATGTTACTATAAAATGATGATGTACATTAGGTTACTAGAAGAGTTCTTAATGCTTTTCTATCTGAACATACAAGATTTCTCTACTTTTAGTTTCTCCAAAGTAGGGTATATCTACAATTCATTATTAAATTCTTCTATAGTTGGAGTTACACAAAATGAAATAGACAAAACAGAAGTAAATAGGTAAAAAAAAAAAAAAAAAAAAGAAAGAAAGAAATTTTATTAGTCAGAAAGGAGGAGAAGTTTCAGGATTTCCAACCCATAAAGGTAGACAACTTAAAAAATATTTTTCTGCAATGAAAAGACATTACAAATGTTTAAGTGACCAATAACAGGGCAATGGTTAAATGAATTATGGTACACCATGCCATGGAACATCAGGAATTTTATGAATTGGAATGCCATGCAACTGTTAAATAAGTAAGACATACCTATGTTCACTGATAGGAAAGAATACTCATTGTAAAATAAGTGAAAAGAGCTTCCCTAGCTGGTGTGGCTCAGTGATAAGAGCATCGGCCTATGTACTAAAGGGTCCCAGGTTTGATTCTGGCCAAGAGCACATGCCTGGGTTTCAGGCTCAGTCCCCACTGTGGGACGTGCAGGAGGCAGCCGATCAATGATTCTCTCTCATCATTGATGCTTCTATCTCTTTCTCCCTCGTCCTTCCTCTCTGAAATCAAAAAAGAAATACACTTAAAAAATAAAGAAACTAACTGTATTAAAGGTTACCAAAATTTAAAAAAAAAAAAAAAAGAGCAAGACATGGAACAATATATAGTATAATCCTATTTACGCTTAAACATAACTGAATTCTTATCCAGTTGGTACTGTTTATATTATCTGTGCTACTCCCAGTGGTTACATTTGGAGAGGAAAGTGGGTTGTTGCAAGTTGGTAGAGCTGCATATTTTATTCTTTATAAAATTCTACCATTTATGTTATGGTGTAAATGGTGCTATTTTTTTTTATTTTATTTAAAAAGAAGCATCCTAAATATGTAAGATGAAAAGAAAACTGGACAATTTGATAACATGTGCTAAAAATATTAAAAATATCCACACCCTTTCACTCTTCTACTTCTGGGAATTTATTCTAAGGAAATAATCAGAAATGTACTCAGAAATATGTTATTAGGTATTTATTGCTGTATCGTAGCCAAACTTATTCACAAGCTATTTCTAAGCTGTAGAAATGATCAAACTATAAACTATTTGAATATATACTACATTTAAAAAATAAATAAGATACGAAAACAATATACATTTTTCAATAATTTTTCCCTAGACAGAAGATACACATGTAGACTACTATGTTAACAATGAATAATTACTGGGGAATTTTTTTCTTTTGTAATTTTTGATTTTCAAGTTCTTGACACAGAACAGCTATTATTTTATAATTGGGGTGAGGGGTTTGAGGTGGAGTCAGGGCAAGGAATCTCAACCATTATTTTTAAGACTAAAATACAGCTGGGTCATTGCTCCTAATAAGGGCTCCAAAGTCCCTCCCCATTCTTACAGGCTATAAATTGTGTTCCCAACCTAAAAATGTTAAGTACCCCTTTTCCACCAAAAGGATTTCACAAGGGGCTTGGGGTCATACTCTGAATAAAACAGTAAGTACTGTTCACATTCTTCTGCCTATGTTGGCAGATGTCCCATATGTACAATGCATCTGAGTCCCCTCGTCCAGGGAAACAAGGAAATACAAACCAGAACTATGCCACTAAATACAATTTCCCCCCTTATATAAATGCATGTACTTACATAACAAATCTCAATATAAATTAATTGGGGGAACCCAATTATTTATATTATCTGTGCTACTCCCTTCCAGTGATGCATATAATTCAGAATTAACTCAATGGGAAAGTATAGTTTTTAAAGTCAGCTTGACCCTGAAAGTTTGTACATTCAAATCAATGGAGATTTTTCTTTTTTGCCCTGTTTAATGTAGCATAATGCAGTGTGGCTCTCATAGTTGAGTTTAGATACTTACCAGCATACCAGCACCTTGAGTTTCCTTCTTCCATTCGATTTACGCAGCATTCATTCAAAGAGAGAGCCATGTCTACCAACAGCACCAGCTGGATAAGAATGAAGATAGCGGCCCCAATCATGCCAATAACAAACCAGACTACAAATTAAAAGAACAAAGTTATTCTTTACCATAAAGTAACATAGCACAATGTTGTTAACATTCTAAGAAGATTTCAATTCAAGTAAGAGAGAGGAGGTAAAAACATATTCTGTCTCCAACACTACAGAGCAAGATTACTCTAATTCCAAAACCAAAGGCATTGTCTGAGAAGTGTTCGGTAGGTTTCAGACCTCTTAAAACTAGTTTGAATCTAACATTCCAAATGCTCCTATAAGCCTTTTCCTTTACTTTACAGGAAGGGAAAAAAATCATAGTGGAAATCCACCCGTCACTCAATGCCATGGTAAGGAAGGAGGCTAAGACAGGGGTGGTAGAGCATATGAGTTATAAGTCCTTCTGTTAACAAGCTCTCTGATGAACTGAGTATTGTCAAGTAAGAAGACAGACTGTTAAAATATTGACAAACAATTAACATCTGGTTCCAGAACTGCTGAGAAGTGACCTGACTGCCTTAATATCTAATATTAGTACCAAGTCATATAATAGGACACCATCTCCTTTGTCAGTTCTACAAAATCAATACTGAAAATATAGTTTTAACTTAATCATGTAGAGTCTGTATATTTTACAATTAACCCCCTTAATAGTGAGCCATACCTGTGGTGAAATAACCCCCAGGAATGTAGAAAGATCCAACCATGATACCAACAATGGCAGCAATTTTGAAGAACCAAAACCTATTAAAATATTTAAAAAGGCATTTATGAAATGCTAATTTTCACCCTAATAGTGAGAAAATGAATTTCTAAAATGCAAAAATAAAGGCGTTTCCAACATGACTTGACTTAATATTCATTTGATATGGGGCTACCTCATTCAATACTTCACAAAATGTAAGAATAAACCGCACAAGGAACAGATCATTCACATTAAGAGGAACATGTATCCTTAGAGTTTCCCTCCTTTAGGCACTTAAAGAGAGGACTTTTTCTAGAATTCTGAAGTGTTCTAGACAAACAATGTTAGCTAAATATAGGGCAATTAACTATTAAGTGTGGGGAAAAGTTATTTCCAAATCTTCTTTTACAACATAGGATATAAAGGCCTTGCTCACAATTACACAGTTCATCACTGGCAAAGCCAAGACCAAACCTGGCTTTTAGTTCATGATCTTGAAAGACTCCTTGTATGGCAGAGGGAAAAGAATCAGACTTTGGAGCTGCACAGACCTGAGTTTCAATCTCAGCTCCAACCCTCATTGGCTGAGATCGCAAGCAATTTATATAACCTCTCTCAAATTTAATTATTTTATCTATAAAAAGGAGATAATTTACGTATAAAGTTTACAAAACTCCCTTTACTCTTCAAATGAGAACTGAGACCAAGAATAGAAAGAAACAGCTGAAGCCGGTTTGGCTCAGTGAATGGAGCGTCGGCTTGGGGACTGAGGGGTCCCGGGTTCGATTCCGGTCAAGGGCATGTACCTTGGTTGCAGGCATATCCCCAGTGGGGGGTGTGCAGGAGGCAGCTGATCGATGACTCTCCCTCATCGATGTTTCTGGCTCTCTATCTCTCTCCCTTCCTCTCTGTACAAAATCAATAAAATATATTAAAAAAAAAAAAAAAAAAAAAGAATAGAAAGAAACAGAGTAAGTAAATCAGTAGCCCAAATATATCCAGTTTATCTTTCTGAATATTATCCTATATAATAAAAGTATATTGTGCAAACTGTCCCCTTGACCAGAGTTTTTCCGGGAGTTCGACCAGGAGGCAGGCAGCCGGGGGGAAGGGAGTATCTAGCCAGTAGCCACTAGGGACCCTACCAGTGCATGAATTTCATGCACTGGACCTCTAGTTTAAATATAACATGCAGCCGAAACCGGTTTGGCTCAATGGATAGAGCGTCAGCTTGGGGACTGAAAGGTCCAGGGTTCGATTCCGGTCAAGGGCATGTACCTTGGTTGCGGGCACATCCCCAGTAGGGGGTGTGCAAGAGGCAGCTGATCGATGACTCTCTCATCGATGTTTCTAACTCTATTCTCTCTCCTTTCCTCTCTGTAAAAAATCAATAAAATATATTTAAAAAAAATAAAAATAAAAATAAATAAATATAACATGCACATTTTATCTTTTAACAATTGAAAGGAAAAATAAATACCTTTATTGATGTGGTACCTAGCATAATGCTTGAAATATTTCACAGGTGTTCAATAAAATCTAGAAACTTGAAAAAAAAAAAAAAACGCCTGGGGTGGGGACAGAGGTGGGATAGAATAGAAGGAGTCAATCAATAGAGGAAAAGGAGGACACATGGAATATTTCAACAATAAAGATTTAATTTTAAAAAAAGAAGCCAGCTGGTGTGGCTCAGAGGTTGAGCACCGACTCATGAACCAGGAGGTCACAGTTCAAATCCTGGTCAGGGCACATGTTGGGCTTGCAGGCTCAATCCTCAGTAAGAAAGGCAGCCGATCAATAATTCTCTCTCATCATTGATGTTTCTAACTCTCCCTCTTTCCCTTCCCATCTCTGAAATCAATAAAAACATATTAAAAAAAAAAAAAAAAAAAGGTAGCCCTAGGCAATTTGGCTCGTTGGATAGAGCGTCAGCCTGCGGACTAAAGGGTCCCAGGTTCGATTCTGGTCAGGGGCACATGCCCGGGTGGCGGGCTTGATCTCCAGTGGGGGAGCATGCAGGAGGCAGCCGATCAATGATTCTCTCTCATCACTAATGTTTCTCTCTCTCTCCCTCTTCCTTCCTCTCTTAAATCAATAAAAATATATTTTAAAAAAAGAGGTAAGACTCTCCTCATCCCCTCTACCTCCTCCAATGCTACAGGTCTCCAAATGAAAATGACACTGAAACAATTTCACATGTACAAGAGGTCAGACATACATCTGGGCCACTGATTTACATACTCTATTGTTCCCATCAAAATGGTAGCATTAACAGCTGAATGTGAAGGTCCACACCATAATATAACAACTTAATAATAAATAAATCTTACATACCCATTGTGTATTGCTGCTCTGGGATCTTTGCTCGTTTTTACTTTTAGCATGAGTAGATAAAAGGCAAAGAAAAAGATGGCCAAGGCAAAGCTGATCCGATATGCAGCTTTAAAACCGACCTGCACATCACAATCTTTATCAGCCTTTAAATCAACCATCTTGATTTTAAATTCCCCTTCACAGAATCCAGGAACCTGGGAAAAATAATGTCAATGTTATGGGAACACCCACATTTAAACAGAGATTCTACCCCACCTTAGGAAAGGCTGGATTTACAAAACTGACTACTTCAACAACTGCAAGACTATCCTGTGGGATTATCCTCTGTCTTCCAATCATTTATACTCTTGTCACCAGAGAGTTTAAACAACTTGCATTTTGGAAATAAAAGTGAATGCTCTCTTCTTTGCGCTTTTCTACTGATGAGGTTATCTCCAATGATCCCATGAATTTTCATGCTACAACTCACTCCTTTCAAAGGCCCAGATCAGTTTAAATGTTTAAGTTTTAGGGCCACCTTTTTAATATATGTTTTCTCTCTCAGTTGTTAGACTAGAACCTGAAGATGTCCACTTAGACTTCCTTTTTTTCTGGGAAAGGACTAATCCCTTCATATTATGTATCTTAACTACATCCCAAAGTACAATGAATTTGATTGACTTTCATAAGTGAAGAAATAAGTAAGACTCTTAATGTCAATTAAAATTTCAAAGAATGTAAAAATAATACATTTAAGGGTTCTGTTACTTCTACTCACCTTCTTCAGCTGATTTTTGATCCCTTCCGTTTGCATGATGCAGGATACAATAGTGCCCAGGATGAGAATAGAAGCATAAATGAGGCGAGTCACAGTGGAATTCTTACTGTTGGGGCAGCAACCGCATAGCAAACATGATGCACCACCACAAAGGCATGGGACCTGAAGAAGCACAGATGGCTATCTGAGGCCTTTCATGACATAGGCATCGCAGAACAGAAAACGAAGCAAGCTTTAACAGAGAATTACAACTGGGAGGAAGTGGTTAAAGGCAAGGGCTCTGGAGTCAATGCTATTTCTGCCACTTTATCTCAGCAAATCTTGTTCTACATCTGTCGCATAGATTCTAACAGAAACTTCCTCCCTCAGACATTACTGTACTAAATAAACACTCAACACAGGATTTAAAACATATTAAGAGACCAAGAAACTTTATTTATATTCACTCAGGTATATTATCTTTAAAAACAACTTATCTTACTAATGAGAAAAATATAAACCTAACTGCAATTGCTATTTACCAAGAACCCTGGTTACCAAATTTGATATTACAAGCAACATTACATGGAAACCCTTATAAATAACTAGAGGACTAATGCATGAAATTAGTGCAAGAGTAGGCCTTCCTTCCCCGGCTGCCGGCACCTGCTTCCTCTGGCACCTCTGGCAGCCCCAGCTTTGTCTGGAAGGACATCCAGTCTAATTAGCATATTATGCTTTCATTATTATAGATTATTATAGATGATAGCAAGAGCCATATGCTCCATTCAAGAGTAACCCAGAGCCCCGGCCAGTGTGGTTGGAGTGTCCTCTGGAACACCAAAAGTTAGTGGGTTCGATTCCTAGTCACGTTACATATGGGAGGCAACTGATGGATATTTCTCTCTCATATCGATGTTTTTTTCCCTCTCTCTCCTCTCTCAAATCAATAAAAATAAATAAATACATAAATAAATAGTAATCTGGAGATTCCTCAAAAAGTTAAACATAGAATTACCATAAGACCCAGTAAATCCACTCCTAAATATAAACCCATAAGAACTGAAACAGGTATGCAAACAAAAGCTTGTAGATGAATGTTCAAGGCAGTGCTATTCACAACTGCCAAAAGGCAGAAACAACTCTAATGTCTACCAATTGATGAATGGATGAGTAAAATGTGTTTTAGCCACACAATGGAATATTATTCAGCCATAGAAATGAATCAAGTACCTAGTGTGTAAAGATACTTAATCTGTGGAACAAACCTGTCCTACTATATGTTTTGTCTCTTCCCTATTTCTAAATGACAGCTATTCTTCCAGTTTCTCACTCCAAAAACCTTTAAGTCATCTTTGATGCCTTCTTTTCCCAAAACACTCATCCAATCTGTCAGCATATCAGCTCTACCCTCAGAATATACCCAGAATCTGACCATTTTCATAGCATCCTTAGCTCATGTTGGTGTAGTCTAAGCCAGTAACATCTCTCACCTGGATTAAATACAATAGCTCGTTTCATTACTGTAGCAATCCATTCAGAACCCAGAGTTAGTAAAAGATTATTTTAAGATGAAAACATTTCAGATTCAAAATAGAAGTAGAAAAAGAAGAGCCTTCTCTCAGAGCTTTCCTCATCTGACTAAACACACAGAAGTGAGGCTGCAGTAACTTCTCCCAAGAGTTTTATGGCCTTGAAGAAGATAAAGATTTCTGCATCCACACAAACAAGTTATTATCACAAACTTTCTTATCTCCTAAACACCCATTTGGCTGGGCTGGTGTGGCTCAGTGGTTGAGTGTTGACCTAAGAACCAGGAGGTCTTGGTTTGATTCCCCCTCAGGGCACATACGGGGACTGTAGGTTTGATCCCTTGTAATGGGCATGGAGGAGGCAGCCCATCAATGATTCTCTCTCATCTTCTATCTCTCTCCCTCTCCCTCTCCCCTCCCTTCCTCTCTGAAATCAATAGAAATATTTTTTTTAAAAATCACCAAAAAAAAAACAAAAAAACCATTTGTCTTTCCTAAGCAATAAGACAACTTATTTGTTTTTCCCATAGAACCCCTTTTCTCCTACCTCTTTTTTATCCCCCTAAAGTTAGGAATATAAGCTCTATATTCTAACCACCCCTTTGAGTTGTTCATCACTAAGCAACTGTGTGTGAATGTGGGTTTTGCGCGCTAATCTGTCTTTTTGTCACAGATCCCTAACTACCAACCAAGGGGGGAAGAAAAGTTTTACTCCCCTATTTTGTAAATAGTGAGTTTAGCCCACTAGTGGATTGCAAAAATCAATTGACCAGAATTTTTTTTAATGTGGTAGAAAAATTGTACAGCAGATAGTAAAGGTAAGATTTCATGAAACTTGTGTCTAAATGGATGTATTAACTCAACTGTATAAAATTTATTTACTTTGGGTCAAAATAAAAAAAAATTGGAAAGCCACTACTCTCAAGGAACCTACCTTTTGTATTTAAGACCTATAATCTTTTTAAAAATATTTTTAATTGATTTCAGAGAGGAAGGGGGTTGGAAGTGAGAGAGAGAAACATCAATGATGAGAGAGAATCATCACTGCCTCCTGCATGCCCATACTGGGGAATAGAACCCACAACCCGGTATCAAACCATGATCTTCCGGTACATAGGTCCACCTCAACCTGTAAGGGGGGGAGAGAGGGGAGTGCCTAAGAAATAATAGTGGAACGAGCTCAGGGAGTCCTCTGAAGTGAGTATACGAGGGAACTCTGCATATTCTATTCTATAGATCCTAAAATTTCCTTTTTAAAATATGGAGTTTGAAGTCTACAAAATGATTCAATCGTATCCCACAACAGCATTCCAAGCGAGGGATGCTGGAGTTATTATCCTCGTCTTACGGGACTTATACAAGGTCCCAAAGTTCAGACGACGGCTTCCAATTTTGAAGAAGAATCTACAAGGCCTTCTCCCCCTTGCACCAGGACTGCACAGGCCTCGGTGAAACTCACAGCTCTGCCACATACTCTAGCTTTGGCAAATCCCGGGCTACAGGGTAGAAACATCATTCAAACCACGCAAATTAGATGGCGCCACCTGAAGAAGGTGCTTGGAAACCAACCAGAGAGCTCCGGCTCTGGGAACTCATTCCTTGGTCCCTTTCCAGCGGCTGGTGAACCCAGAGGCCGGAAGGCTCCTGGGGGCGGGGCCACGGAAATTGTAAACAATGGCGGCCGGGCCGCCCACGTTCGTCAAACGCGGAAAGTGAGCCGTCTGATCCCGATCGCGGATTTTGGCCTGGACCCTTGGATACTCTCTGCAGCTCAGGGCCGATCCCTTCCAATTCCCGGGCGTCTGCAGCCGAGGCCCGTTCGGGGCTGATCCTGGGGCTCACTGTTGTCCTCCCCCTGCCCCCCCGCCTTCCCCCCACCCCGTCTCGTCCAAACCACAGATCAGACCGAGACACTAAGCCAGGAACTCACCCAGCTGGCCAGGGAGCAGACGCCCAGCACAGCTCCCATGGCGACGCCGGTGATGGAAGCGGCGGGTCCGGAGGCTCCTGGCGCGCGCTGTGACTGCCGGTTGAGAGGTCTTCTCAGAAACACGAAGGTTTCTCAAGCCGGAAACGCACGGCTAGCGTCATGGCGTGGCCCCGCCCACCGCCCTCGGCCGCTGCTCAGTGGTAGGGAAAGAAGGCGGGGCTAAATCCTCGCCACGCTGCCATTGGTAGAGAAAGAAGGCGGGGCTAAATCCTCGCCAAGCCGAGGGAGGAGGCGGGGCCAGACCTGCCAGTGCTTTTAGGGGTCGTGGAGGCTTGATTTCTTCGCCTCGTTTGTATTCCCTGGGAGCCCATTAGGTGTCAATATCGGGGTACCGAAGTTGTTAGGGGCAGAAATAGAATATTAGAAATTAACTATAATGATAAGGAATATTGATCATGCTGTCTTAACCGTGATTGATTTTCTGATCAGAGAAAGCACAGTCTAACCTCGCAGAGAATTGTACGCCCTGGGACATGGGAGCTAATATCGGAATGCAGTCTGTCCTCCTTCCGAGAACTGCCTATCAGTTTGGAAAGATTTACATCCTGGTGGCGCCTAGTCCTGCAGGCACCTGCTCTTTACATCCCCCTGCCCTTATTATCTGTGATCTGGTCCCAGGGCGCAGAGGCGCCTGCTCTCTGTAACGCTCCCCCTTCCTCCAGGCCACAGGATTTGTAACCTGTAATTCCTACTTTTCCACGTGATCTTGTCCTTCTACCCAATAGAAGCAGTTGCCTTCTGGTGGGGTGCAGAGCAGATTTTTGTGGGTGACCTACTGCTCCCCATACTGCTAGCAGTATTGGAATAAACGCTCATATATGATTCACCCCTGTCTCTGCTTAATTGGCTGAAGTAGTGACAGGCAGCCCAGACCCCTTGGTTGTCCAATTACAAAGTGTACAAGAATTTATGGCCTAGTTAAGAAGAGACTGACACCATAAATGCACCGTTAACACATTGTGATGAGTAGTACTATGAAGAAGTAACATAAGGGAATATTCTTTCCATAAAAAATGTAATGCCCACTAGGTACAGGGAAAGCAATTTAGTTGGGGGTGGAGGCCTGGGAAGTTGTTTGGAGGAATTTAATCTGAGAACTGAAAGATGAGTCAAGTTTATCAGGGAAAAAGGAGCAGTTTCCTAAAATGTGGGCTCTATATATCATTGAAAGGCACAGAGAAAAAGTCCTGTTTCAAACCCTAGAAAAGGTTTGAAACAGGACTGGTATGTATTTAACATTTTTCTAGCACTTGCTTATCTCCCTTTTTAACAGAATGAAGGCTTCATTTTCCACATCTTTCCAAAGGAAACCGCATCTACAGTTAAAATAGGCATTTTGTTTCAGGGTTTGTGTGTGTGTGTTTACAAAAAAACTTCCATTTCTACCAACCAAAGCTGGTTTTCCATTTAAGCAGTGAGGTAAACTTTCTTTTGTAGATGTCAGCAAAAATTGAGATTCTATTTAAAGAAAGAAAACTTGAAAATGGTTTATTTAAATGCATAACAGTGTAAGTGGTAGGTAGACTTGCCTATGATGACAATGTTGTACAAATGTCCTAAGTAGGGGTAACATTTACCTGAGAATACAAGAACCTGTAGAGTTTGGAATTCTATAATATTTATATTGGAAGACACCTCAGAAATACACTCAGACCTCTTCTTTTACTGAAATGAGAAAAGGCTCAAAGTGAAATGCTTTGCCAAAGGCCACAGGAAGAAGGGTTGATGGGCAGAGGAAGAATTACGCAAGCTTTTCTACTTCCTGCCTCAGCCTATCTCCTCCCCCACCCCCAAACAGCCGCCCAAATCAGGTTGCTTTAGGACCACTGAACCTTCCAGATGTGGACGAAAGGAGCCAAGTGCTAACCTGACAGGCTCAGGGGAGGCCTGCGTGGCAGTCTTGCAAACTCTGAGACCTAAAATAACCACAAAAGATGGTTTGAAAATTAAATATCTAACTACAAACAGGTTACTGTGGGTAGTCATGTCCTAGGCCGATATTTTCCCTGACAAAGATCAACTTAGATCTTCTTTACTGAGCCCATTTGCCTTTTGGCCTCTAAGATAACATACTATTTCACAGATAACATATCTGTGAGATGTCTGGTTAACTTGTAATTTCCCTTTTTCTGGAGCCCCTGGGGCACAACCCAATGTGGTGGGCACCAGGACAGACGCCACAAATTCCTTCATTATCATGTTGTTTCTGTACCCACCTAAGTATATGTCCATCATTCTACTTTTTATCCAATCCCAGGGGTTTCCCACCACTTTGCTTTCTCCCACCTCCTTAATTCATCACCAATGAATTTCATGTAACCCACCTATGTCCCTCCCTTGGTTGCAATGTATAAATAAAAATGTAATCTGCGAAAGAAAGAAAGAAAGAAAGAAAGAAAGAAAGAAAGAAAGAAAGAAAGAAAGAAAGAAAGAAAGAAAGAAAGAAAGAAAGAAAGAAAGAAAAGAAAAGAAAAACAACAAAAAAAGAAAGAAATGTAATCTGCCTTTCTTCGGAGCATTATCTCAATTCATTGAGGTTCTGCTTCCCAGCATATGCCGACAGTTTGGCTCAAACTCACAAAATTCTTTACAGTTTCAATTTTTTGTTTTTGTTTTTTCATTAACACAGGTAGCTTCAGCTGCCTCTTGTACACCCCCTACCAGGGATGTGCCCGCAACCAATGTACATGCCCTTGACCGGAATCGAACCTGGGACCTTTCAGTCCACAGACTCTCTACCACTGAGCGAAACCGGCTTCAGCCACACAGGTAGCTCTTAAAACCCTGTTATCAAAAAGATTTATTTATTCAGCTTGTTCACTAAGGAAGAACACACACCAGAGAAACCGTGGGGGATCCTGGTAAGAGGGACTTGGAGTTTATATTAGGATTTGGGTACTCTAAGGATGGTTTAAGGAAGTGGGGAGTTGTTTTTAATTGGACACAGTCAAGAAGCAGGGACAATTTGATGAGTAGGTAGGTATCTTAATTTTTATCCTGGAGGCAGGAAGATTAAGTAAAGCAGGGCCAAAATTGTCATTGAAAAGGAGGGAAAAAAAAAAAAAAAAAAGGTAAGACTCACTCCCGTTAGAATAAGTTGTTGAATCATGTTTGTCTCTGCCTTGTTCCAAATAAGCAGTGGCCTTGTCTGGTACTTGTTTACATTCTGTGAGCACTGTTTATGTAAGGAGCACCGGGTCAAGCTAGCAGCTGAAGAGTTTTTCATTTTCTGACCTGCAAGCATTAGTCCTCTCAAATGTGGTATCCTGCCCATCTCTGTGCTTTTAACCCTAAGTGGTTAAGTGTGCCTCCTTTGGGCGGCAAAGTTGAAGGACGGCACATCTTTGAGATCCTCTACTCCTACTTTCCACTGCAGCAACGTCTCTTCTAAGATGGGGGCTCACTGCCACCCAAACAGCCCCTCCCATACTTGCCTGTTGATTGTCAAAACTAGATGTGTTTTTTTGTCCCCTGTAGGAGAGGAAAATTTGTCTTCTCCTTTTAGGTACAGTGACTGGCCAACATGGAGGGTTTTATACTAATTGATCAAGACCGGTAAACTTTAAATTTGTAGAGAAGTAGTAAGACAGTGGAAAGGGGTTTAGGCTTTTGGGGGGCATGCTGTAGGGAGGTAGATACATGGCAGAAATTAATGGAAGATAAAGATCTTTTTTTTAATATATTTTATTGATTTTGTACAGAGAGGAAGGGAGAGAGAGAGAGAGAGTTAGAAACATTGATGAGAGAGTCATCGATCAGCTGCCTCTTGCACACCCCCTACTGGGGATATGCCCACAACCAAGGTACATGCCCTTGACCGAAATCGAACCCGGGACCCTTCAGTCCGCAGACCGATGCTCTATCTGCTGAGCCACACCGGTTCTGGCAGATTTTTTTTTTTTTTTAACAGGATTTGTTATGTAGATTTTCTCTCACTGGTAAGAGTCTAGAATTATCTCCTATGATTATTTTCTGCCTTCCCTGGGGAGTAGGAGGAGGGAACTTAACAAAGGGAAATTTATTGGATGAGGGCAGAGAGTCTTTATGTGAGTTTCTCTCAATTGCCTTCAGCTCAAAATAATCCTTAGAAAGTGGCATATTTTGGGGTGGCGTATTCTGATCTCCTACTTTCCTATATGTTGTTTGTAAAGATAATACATTTACTTGTTTTTTGAAAATATTACATTAAAGCCCTAGCTGGTTTGGCTCAGTGGATAGAGCGCTGGCCAGCGGACTGAAGGGGTTCCAGATTCCATCACAGTTAAGGGCACATGCCGGTTTGATCCCCAGTAGAGAGCCTGTAGGAGGCAGCCAATCAATGATTCCTTCTCATCATTGATGTTTCTATCTCTCCCTCAGTCTCCCTTTCTCTCTGAAATCAATAAAAAATTTTTAAATGCGACATAAAAGAATATACAATGGAAATGCATTATCTTAAGCCTCCATCTCCCAGATCTCTTTCCACAGTTCACATGCTGCATATGCCAGCATTATATGTATTATCCATCACCCCCCTTTTACAAGTCTACATCTAAATTGTATCTACATCTTTATCTTCCTGGGCCTCTCTCTGACTATAGTAAGCTGTTTTATGGATGCACCATCATTTATTTACTCAACCCCCTACTAAATGGACCTTAAGACTGGTCTTAACACTTTTACAAACAGTGAAGCAAGGCTTAACCTTCGGATTCGTGTTCCAGTGTATCTGCATGCTAATTCCAAGAAGTGCAATTGCTGGTCACAAGTTAAATTATTTCCAATATTGAGATTAAATGTGGTAACCTAATTCTCAACTCAAGCCCAAAAAACAGGTTTATTATTTGCCACAAAACCACTTCGGAGAAAAAAAAAAAAAAAAAGGAAGCACCTGCCACCCCGCCCAAGTCAGTTTTGCTGTCTTTAAATATTCCCAGTGTTAGAAGCTTCCACCTAACGGTCTGCATCACAGGTTGCAGGAAGAGAAATTGAGGCACAGG